CAGCCAGCTGCAGGAGAAAGGTGGGCAGTAGGAGTCGGGGAATGGTGCATTCCCCGACTCCGGGGAATGGATCGGGTGGGCGGGTGGGCGGAGCCTCCAGCTTCCATTGCTACCGGTTCTCCGAACCACCGGCCATTATCGCTACCTATTTGCCCGAGCCGGTCCAAACCGGGAGCATTTCACCCCTGCTTGTATCCCTCTAGCTACAAGCACCCCTCCAGTCCTGTTTCTTGATGCTTTTTTCGTAAATGAGGCTCTTGCATATGAATGAAATGAAAGAAAGAAAGTGGGGCTCACTTGGTGATTTTGGTCAATTATGTATGTGTGTGTGTATGGTAATTTCACAGATAATTAAAGACAATCCCATTCAAAATTATTCCTCACCACCCCTCTTTTTTAATGTGTCCCAGATCCCATTGCAGGATGGTCCCCAACATCGCGTCAGAAGGTGGCTCTCACCAGGCCATTACAGTTTTTTTTAAATAAGTCAAACCTTTGCATAGCTTTTGGGTAGAATCTGAGGTGATGTATAGACTGCCTTTAATACTTTCCATTTCAGCCAGGGCAGGCTAACAAAATAGATGAGAGCCATGATATTTCCAAATCCAGCTTTTGCATAATGTATTGAACATCCAAGGGTGAAGCGTGCCCAATTAAACTTCATTCTATGGGCTTTATTGTTTTTTTCACTGATGTTTATACAGGTAGGCAACTCCTTGGGTTAGGAAGGATACAAGCTGGAAGAGGATGATTTGATTGGAACATTATGATAGTTGTGCTCCTTTTCCATCCATCCATCCCTCCGTTCCCCAATAATGCCTTGAGAAAACCCCAAAGACTTTATGCACAGCTGTAACAAATATAAAAAGTGGCAGGTAGGTAGATACCACCAGCAAAAAGGCAGCTGGGAAAAGGTGTTGCAAGACATTTACCTGATGGTGATAGAGATCATAGCTTTGATCATTTGAGGGACTCCTCATTTAGCCAGTTTGAACCTGCAAGGTTGGAGTGCTCCAAATTCCTTTGATTTAAAATGTCATCTCTCAAAACCCTGGTAGCAGAGTCTGGCCTGAGGAATGAGGCTGTTCCTGAGAGCTGAATGGGTGCCACCATGCTCTTCTGTAGAAGAATGGTGAAGATGTGGCTTTTCCACCAGGCCTTTTGGCAAGGGAGAATGAGACCCCTTGCTTCCTCATATTACTGTCTTTTATATTTATCTTTTATGCTTTATTGATCTGATTGTAATTTCTTTGTTGTGAGCTTCCCAGAGTCAGATGGTAGACATTTAATTTATGATGATGATCCTTGAGTGAAAGCAGAATGAAAAGAAATGGTGGGAAATGCTCACCTTTGGTTAACCTGAGGTGAGTCACTCTTAGGAAGGCACATACGGGAGACAGATTGGCAAGTTGTTGACTGGAAAGTTCTCTTTGCAACATTTTGTAGAACCCCTTTATCAGGGAGGTGGGTGAGTAAGACGTTTGATGTATAAATACATACATTTCTTTTCAAGCACTTTTCTGAATAGGAGGATTGACACTAACAGGTGTTTGCATTAGCATTAAGAAAGAGATACCTGCCCATCCCTATTCAGGCACTGTGAAAATTGCAGTATTCCAATATTTGAGGGGCTCCTACAAAGACGAGGGTGGTGGTGTCAAACTATTTTCCAAAGCACCAAAAGGCAAGACGAGACTATGGATGGAAACTAACCAAGGAGAGAAGCAACTTAGAACTAAGGAGAAATTTCCTAACAGTGAAGCAATCAACCAGTGGAATAGCTTGCCTTCAGAAGTTGTGGGTGCTCCATCACTTGAGGCTTCCAAAAAGAGACTGGACAACCATTATCTGAAACGATATAGGGTCTCCTGCTTGAGCAGGAGGGGTTGGACTAGAAGATTAACAGAGTTGGAAGGGAACTTGTAGGTCATCTAGTCCAAACCTCCCTGCCCCCGCCCAAGCAGGGGACACTACACCATTTCTGACAAATGGCAGTCCAGTCTCTTCTTGAAAGTTTCCAGTGATGAAGTTCCCACAACTTCTGAAGGCAAGCTGTTCCATTGGTTGATTGTTCTCACTCTCAGGAAATTTCTCCTTATTTCTAGGTTGAATCTCTCCTTGTTCAGTTTCCATCCATTATTCCTTGTCTGGCCTTTAGGTGCTTTGGAAAATAGGTTGACCCCCTCCTCTCCTGTGGCAGTCCCTCAAATATTGGAACATTGCTATCATGTCTCCTCTGGTCCTTCCCTTCACTAGACTAGCCATGCCCAGTTCCTCAACCGTTCATTGTATGTTTTAGCCTCCAATCCCCTAAAACCTCCAAGGTCCCTTCCAACTCTATATTTTATGTTCTATATTCTATGAAGACATATTCACATATTTTCCCAGGCTGGTGGTGCTGTAAAGTCTTGTGGCATTACAGTACAGATAGCATCCCTTTGTTATAAAAGCCGAAGCATTACCTAAATTACAAGAAGGAATAGGCTGGAGAAACTGAGCTCCTGAGAAGGAGCAAAGTACACACAGGGAAGATGTACTAAAAGAGAGGCTGGGTTCTCGTGAGCTGTGAAACCAAACCCAAGCAGTTGTGTTGAATAAGCCACAGTTGGCTGGCTTCAAACATAATGCTAACCCTTCAACCGTTGTTCATAAACCATAATGGTTAAGTTCACACTACCAACTAAACCAAAGGCTGTGAAGGAATTGGAGGTGACCGTAGGGAAGGCATGAGAGAGCTGTTCAGAAAAGAAGGAGTGAGTTGTTAAGAGGGGTTGCACGGTCCATCATCTGTCTGCAAGAGAAAGAAACTCAAAATGACCTCCCCTTGATTTTGTTTAGTATAAAATGGGACACAGAGGAATTTGGATAGGTTTTCGAGATTCTGTTATTCAATTTTACTACAATAAAAAGCCTTCCTGGAATCTTTGCCATGCCCATTTCTTGACCTGGTCTACCCAAAAGGCTAACAAAATCAAACTAATCACACTTTGGCTTATTATAAAAATTACAATCCAGTAAATCTGACATCTGCAACCCTTAACTTTTGGGGCACCAGTGACTTTGTGATTAGCGTGCCAGAAATGTATCCATATCTGCGATTTTCACTGCAGACGGCACCTTGCAATGGCATCTTAATGACATTCTGTTTAGTGTGCCTTACAGGGAAATGTCAAAGCCACCGCAATGCTAATATCTAATTAATGAGATGATTGTTAAACCCAAGCAAAAGGGCTGCATGTACTACTACTGTTTTCATTCCCAGATGTTTGTGCTTGAGTCAAGTCTGTGATGGGAATAAAACCTTGAAAGGGCTCATCTCCACTTGGGAGTTTGGATCACTCTGAGAGTTGGTTTCTTTCATACGGTACTTGTGTTTTCAGCACTTCTGTGGCAAATTCCCCATGGATGCAATCTGTTGCTTTTCCCCGAGACCTCTCTCCCTGGAGTCTTGCAAAGCAGGATCTCTGTGCAGAGATTATTCTGCTGGCTTCCCAGTCTGGAGGAAAATAAATTGAAATCACTGAATAATAAGAGCAAAATAATTCTGCCCTCAAGAATTGTGTATATTTATCTTAAAGCCCAAACTAAAAGCCTTGGGTTGGGTGTTGGTAGTAGTATTTTATTTCAATCATGGACCAGCAAAATGTAACATGTAAGAATTACAGCTATTCTATTATAAGAAATGAGTAAAATTTAAATCACTATTTATTTATCAAATGTATATGGCCACCCATCTCACCACAAGTAAAGTCACTAGCACAGTCTCTACAATTGTAATACCTGTATCATTAAGATTATAGGGTTAAGATTATGAAGCCAGAAGTAAGTATAGTTGAGATTTATGTAATGTGAATAAAGCTAAAGAATAATAACTAAAGATAAAAATAGAAACAACTAACATGAATTATAAAACTACTACATTACTAAAATCTGCAGGTAAACTATATTTCATATTAATATTGAAACTATAATAGTGTAATCATGTATAAACTAAAGCAGTATAGAAATGAATCACAACAACTTCAAAGGCTAAAGAGCTAGAAATAAGCAATTAGATGGAAATTTATGGGTACAGCCTCGTTAATCTGATAGCTCTAATAACTATGCAGAATGAATTGTATCGGTACAGTAATGGGCTATACATAATGAAATAAGCACCTAAACACTCTCATTAGCTGTGTTTATTTCTGGGTGGGGTTTACACATGATGTAACAGGTTTGGTGGGTCTAAAGCAGAGGTGTCAAACTGGCGGCTCGCAGGCCAGATACATCATGCTTAGGCCACGCCCATCGCAGCTCTGCAAAGGGGAAAAATGTAGTGATATGTCACGTGATGGCAACGTGACACCGCGAGTTTGACACCAATAGTCTAAAGAAATAAAGTTATGATAATCAACTGATAAATAGCATGAATAGGCACAGTAGATTGTTTTCAGCAGCATCTAGATAACCTTCACTTGAGGGGCTACCTATCAATAGATATTTTCTATTCTAAGGAAGTAGAGCTGATTTTCCTTATTTTTCTCACTGTTTCATGAGAGACGTTATGGGGGAATCTTCAGGAACAACTTTTCAGGGGCCACAGATGAGAAACAAAGGATTGGTTAAAATTACATTCCTCATATTTCTTTGGGGATACCGTCTTGCAAACAAGAGTTCTGCTCACAGAAATTGGATCCCAGCCCTTTTTATTCTGCTCTGGATTCATTACATTTCTGTTCAGGCATCATAAAGCATAATTGTCCACTCCCTTGAAATAGAGGGTGCTGTCCCCAAGTCACAATGAGGCCATAACCGCTTTGGTAATCGTATAAAAATAATCTTTGTTACATATTGTCCCTCTGGAGTGTGGTGGTGCATTTGTAAAACAAGTAAATATTGGTGTTGGGTCAAGGCATGAGAACTGAAAGAAGCGCAGAAAGGGCATGCATGATGAGACCCAGGAAATGAAAAATTCATCATGATGGATGCATGTTTATTCAGGGTTTTTTTGTTCCTAGGCTCTTTTTGCTTTGTCATCGATGCTGCGACACTTTCCTTATGCCCAGCAACAATTTCTAAAACTTGGAGGCCTACAAGTACTCAGGAATCTTTGCACAGAGAAAGGAATGGAGATACTGTACATCCGCACTGTGACCCTTCTCTACGACTTAGTAGTAGAAAAGGTAAGAGGAGCCATTATACTTTATCTGTTGTTAGCACAAGTCTACCGTGTTTCCCAAAAATAAGAGCTTGTCTTATATTTTTTTGAACCCTGAAATAAACGCTTGGCCTTATTGCCATGCGCTCAAAAGCCCGATTGGGCTTATTATCAGGGGATGTCTTATTTGGGGGGGAAACGGTATCAATCTGAAGAAGAACAAGAACTGGAAGGCGGGGTTAAATAAGTCATCAGTTTGGAATCATTGCATTGCCACAAGAGACCTAACATACAACAATCATCAATGGGGCACCATTGGAAAGAGGGGAGTTGCTAAGTTTGCCTGAGCACCTGAATACGTGTCTTTCAACTGTGCCTTGCACCTTGTCAGAACAGCTATCAGGGCTGTGCAGGGTATAGCCTTATTCTTTGGTTTATCCTTTCACTTGGGCCCGAGTTCGTTCTCTACCGGCTGTTCCTTCTTGCCCAGCATGAACATGTGTGCCACTATAGGCAAATTACCATCAAGGAAAGTATCGCAATCAAGCTTCTCTGCTGGGACTTAAGAACAGAGATGAGCAGGGCAAGCTCCCAGCATACAATTCAGGAGGATTTGACTTTCCTTCTCTCTTAAGCCAGAGAAACAACCTTCCTTAATTATAACATAGTAGTAAGGAGATGCTTGTGATTAGGAACTAATTAATGACGTGCATATATAGCAATTTACCCAGGAGGCAGCCCAGTGAAGCAAAGGCATTGTATTTTTTTAAAATTATTATTATTATTTAGAGAATGCCCACCCCCATTGTGTTGTGTATCTGGCTGCCGTATGCTGTGAACAACCTTTTACTTCATCTGTGTAGCCAGATGGCTGGCTTGCAGGGCCCATGTGGGAGTTTTGCAGACAGAAATCAAGCATCTTGGCTGCATCCATATTATTTCTAGGGAGCAGAAGGAGAGAGAGACAACACCCCTCCCCCCCCCCTTTTACTACTACTCTGACATTGGCCCCAGTCCTGCAGTGGAAAAAGTGATGGTGAATAGGATTTCCCATAGGGGAACTGCATGATTCTACCTTCATCCCAATACTTAGTGCTGCTTCCTTATCCTCATGGAAGCTGCAGAATGGAAAACACCCCCTTCCCCCCCCCCCCCGAAAGACTGGACTATAAGCAAGTTCTAATAAATTTACATCCTAGAAAAATGTGTTCCATATTTTTTCAAGGTGGCGTTTTGTGTACATGGGAACAGGTGAAGGCAAACGGTACGGGCAGATGTCCTGCTTTACCACAGCCAGGAGTATGTTAGTGACTATGGAATTTGTAGTCAAAAACAGTTATTTTACTTCTTTTAAAGGTGCCTGTTATATACTCCTAGGTCAGGGATCTGCAATCTTAAACATTCAAAGAGCCATCTGGACCCATTTCCCACAGGGAAAAAAAAAACACCGGGAACCACAAAACCCTTCCCGTGCCTGACTATTTCTTGAGCGGCCACAAAACTAGCATATGTAGTTGAATTAAACGTTCTGTTTTCTTCTGAAACTTTTCTTTTCTTGGATTTATCCATGGTTGGCCTACCGGGGGTTGAAAAGCTCAATAAATCATGTACCGGCTGGTGTCGCACACTGGCAGTTGTGACGCATCTTTTGAATGACAGGGAGCTGCAGCAGAGGGGTGAAAGAGCCACATGCGGCTCCAGAGCCAAAGGTTGCTGACCCCTGTCCTAGGTGGACATGTGCCTCTTGCAGTGATATAGATCATCCAAGTCTTTGGTCCAATTCTTTTGGCTTGGACTAGCATGGAATAGCATTCCAGAAAACATGCAATTAGCAGGGAGCATAAGCTGTAAATCAGGCTTTCCCTGATTTGCTGGCTGGGGAATTCTGGAAGTTGAAGTCCTCCAGGCTTAAAGTTGCCAAGGTTGGAAACCCCTGGACTAGAAGACCTTCCAACTCTGTTATTCTTTTCTATTCTAACTGAAATCCTCACATCTCAACAGTTTTCTGAATCTTTAGAAAAGGATGCCAGGGAGGTGGTCCCAACTTCCTGTAGAGGAATCTTATAGAATAGAAGAATAAGAATAAGAATAATTTTATTTCTATACCGCCCTTCTCCCGAAGGACTCAGGGCAGTGTACAGCCTATTAAAAGCACAAGACAAACATCAATTAAAATAATTTAAAATTATTAAATAATTCGGCTCAATTTAAAACCCCAGAAATTTAAAACACCCAATTTAAAATTATTATGTTGATAGCCCAGCCTGGTGGAACAACAGGGTCTTGAGTGCACAGTGAAATACCCGGAGGTCGGAGATCTTACCCACTTCCGGGGGCAGTTCATTCCACAGGGCTGGGGCTCCCACAGAGAAGGCCCTCCCCCTGGGTGTCGCCAGCCGACATAACTTGGCCGATGGCACCCTGAGGAGACCCTCTCTGTGGGAACGAACTGGCCAGTGGGAGGCTATTGGTGGCAGAAGTCGGTCTCGAAGGTACCCGGGTCCTATGCCATGGAGCGCTTTAAAGGTGGTGACCAACACCTTGAATAGAATTCCTTATTGGCCTGATGTGATTGGGCACACAAGGGATTTGCCTCTCGTGCATAAGCTTTCAATGTACATATAACAACAAAGTGATAGGTCATATATAATAGAATAGATCATAGTTACAATCATTAATCACAAGATACAACAACAGGTGATAAATCATAGATACCAATAGGAGAAGGTAGTAGGAAAAATGAGAAGATGAGAAGGATAATATCAATACAGCCCCACCATATGGATAAACATCTTTAGGCCTAAAACAGTGCGGTGTAAATTAGGTGTTTAGCAGAGTCATGGCATGGGGGAGAAAACTACCTTTGTGTCTAATTCTTTTGGCATGCAATGCCCTAGAGCGGCGTCCAGAGGGAAGAGATTGAAACAGTTTATTCATAATGTCTCTGTGGATAGGATTGGATGCTGAACTATAAAGCAATCTCTCATCAGCTGGTCTTTGGATAGATATAATTGCTTTTCATCTTTCGTTACACTATTACTGATTATTGGCAGTGAGTGGCTTCAGGCACTCATGTTTCCTATAGCTTCTGAAATTTGAAATAGCGGCTTTTAGACTTTTAATTGTACATACATAAATACATGTATGTACAGAGAGAGAGAGAGAGAGAGGGACTCTCGCTTCCCTTTTTATGCTTTTTTTTTTTTTTGGTTATTCAATAAATCTGGCTGATTTCCTGCTTCCCATTTCCCCTTCCCCTCAAAAAAAAATCTAATTTGTCTTGTTAGTTTCTTCCCCCAGTTTGCTTTCCCTAATGAGTGCATTAGGCTGGCTAGTAACATTTTCATAAATTGGTACTTTTATGATCGGCTGAGTCTCCCAGATCAGCCTTTGTAAGAATGGGAGAGGCCTTCGGGTAATTGTTTTGCCAAATTGCGGCAAGAAGAGACCTCGGGTGGTGAAGTGCAGATAGTCCTTAAAAAGAACAATAAAGTTATTATGAGCACGGGTAGTCCTCCACTTACGACCAAATTTCTGTTGCTAAGCGAGGCATTTGTTAAATGAACTTTGCCCCATTTTACGACCTTTCTTGCCACTTTTGTTAAGCCAGTCGCTGCAGTCGTTAAGTTAGTAACACGGTTGTTAATGGACTCTGGCTTGCCCTTTGACTTGGCTTGTCAGAAGATCACGAAAGGTGATCACACGACCCCGTCATAAATATGAACCGGTTGCCAAGTGTCTGAATTTTGATCATGTGGCCATGGGGATGCTGCAACAGTCATAAGTGTGAAAAATGACCATAAGTCTCTTTTTTCAGTGCCGTTGTAACTTTGAAAGGTCACTAAATGAACTGTCGTGAGTCGAGGACTACCTGTAGTTGAGATGCCTCTGCCCATGGAAGCCCAGTGGGTGACTTAGAGCGAGTTGCTCCCCTCTAGCTTCATCATAGGGTTGTGGTTGGGAGGATAGTGAGAGGAGGGAGCGCTCTGTTCACTGCCTACAGCCCTTTGGGTGAAAGACAGAATCGGAATCTAATCATTAAACAAGTTAACAACATCTAAATGTGCCTTCCAGCATGACTCGGCAAGCGTTCCTTCCATTTTGAAACCCACAAAAACAGAAAGAGTTTGGTATCTATGGAGGTTCTTAGTCATCCAGGTTGTCCCAAAGGTGCTTTTTCAAGAGGCAACTGGACTTTCTGGTTTTTTCTTGGAAGGCGTTTGCCACAGTGCTGAAGAAGCTTCTTGGATGAGAAGCAAAACGTCTTCCAAGAAAAACCAGAAAGTCCAGTTGCCTCTTGAAAGTACACCTTTGGGACAGAAAGAGCTTGGTGGATTGACCACAGAGGCCGATAGAATTGATTTCAGACTTCACATCAGTAAGTACCGTATTTTTCGGAGTATAAGACGCACTTACCTTTTTTGGTGAGGAAAAGAAGAAATAGAAATCTCCCTCTGCCTCTGACTGAGCAATTTTGCCTCGTTACAGCAAACAGCCTGCTTTACTTTCATTTTCGGTTTCAGCATAGCTTGATTAGCACAAGGGGAAAAAAAATCTGCTCCAGCAATTTACCTCTTTGCAGCAAGTAGCAGAGCCCTGCGCAAAACAGCTGAAAGCAAATCAGCTGAGAGTTGGGAGGCTGATCCAATCAACTTGTGCTAATTAGGTTGTGCTGAATCTGAAAGGAGCTGTTTCTTCTTGCTGTTTGCTTGCAAGGAGGTAATTCCTGCGAGGCAGAGGCCAAAGGGTGGGGGCCAGTGGGTGGGCAGGGCTGCATTCGATGTATAAGACGCACCTAAATTTTCACTCCCTTTTAGGGGGGGAAAAGGTGTGTCTTATACTCCGAAAAATACGGTATATTTCACAGAAAAACAACTGTGTGTCAGCTTAAATAATCATTTAAGGACTCTCTGTTGCAGCAATTGATCAAGAACAGTGACGATAAGGATGAAGCTCATGAGAAAACTCAGCAATACAGTCAGGTGAACTTGATGCCTGCCATTGTGGAACAAGGCTGGTGCACAATCATTTCGAACCTCCTGAAGACGCCAGAGCACGACAGCCGGGAGAAGGTGCTCAAGACGGTGCACGTCCTGCTCGCCTTCTGTAAGGATGCTTACGCCGGGGATCCTACGCTCAACCACGTCCTCAGCCTCCTGCGCCAGGAATACGAAGAGCTGGCCGAGGAAGAGCAAAAGGAAGGGGACGAAGATGGCTACTTTAAGGAACTCCTGCACTCTATAAATAGCATTGCCCAACAATTAAAGTAAAGGGGACGTGTGTCGAAGAACCTTTGTGGGGTTTGGGAAGAGTGGTGATGAATAAATCTATTCTAATAAGTTTTTGGTTTTGTGTCCTGCTCTCAGTGTGGCAAGCCCATATGCTGGGTAATGGAAGAATGGCTGCCTTTTGTCAGTATTTTTGTGTGTGTTTTATCCCGATCATAGATACAGGTAGTCCTCGAGTTACGACCACAATTGAGCCCAAATTTTCTGTTGTTAAGTGAGACATTTGTTAAGTGAGTTTTGCCCCATTTTACCATCTTTCTTGCCACAGTTGTTAAGTGAATCACTGCATTGGTTAAGTTAGTAACATCGTTGTTAAGTGTTCTGCCCCAGCTACGGATCCCAAAGAACGCAGCGCACACAAAGTCTAAATAAACCAGTCTTTTACAACAACAGCTGTTAATTAACTGCATCAACAGCTGCCAAGAATTTAAAGAATAATAACTGAAAGTTTACTATGGTTGGCAGAATGCCCAGAAGCAATTTGCAGGAAGCTGATAAGATAAGTGTCGAGCCTCGCAGCACGCTCGACAACAACGCTGCCGCACGATGACAGCAGCAAAGAATATACAGAAGATATACATACACACGGGGTGGTGGTGGCACTGGGTGCAGGCGGTCGTGTGCGGGGTGTGGGGTGGAGGTGGCGTGTGTGATGGGCGTAGGGCATTTCCTGAACATTGCTGCTGGTCCTGAACGTTGCTGCGAAAGAACGCTCCAGAGCACACCGGTGCCTGATACGCTGATGAGGGAAGGTGTGGTGCCATGACCCCGGGGTACTGCAACCGTCATAAGTGTGAACCGGTTGCCAAACATCTGAATTTTGATCATGTGGCCATGAGGATGCTGCAATGGTCATAAATGTAAAAAATGGTCATAAGTCACTTTTTTCAGTGCCGTTGTAACTTTGAACGGTCACTAAATGAACTATGGTAAGTGGAGGACTACCTGTAATTGCAACAGGAAAGTTCAACAATTCCCGCCACCACAGTGTTAACAAAAAAGAAGCCTTTTTGGAAATTACCTTCTCAAAAAAAAGGATATGCCGTAGCATTAAAGGAACTCATTGTCTTGTCTCTGGTCTATCTGAGGAGAGAACATTTTTGCTCAAGGTCATTCATTGCTTGCTTGCTTTGAAAAGGCAATTTCCCTGCAAGAAGAGTTTTTACCATATCTCATATGTGTCAGAAATCAAAAGCAGGGTCCATTATAGCTGTGGCACTTTCCTTTACATTTTTGCAGCTCTTCTTTACTTGCTCAGTCGTGTTGATATAATATTGCTATTCTGTAGGAATTTGTTAATCTGATGGAAATGTTGCTTTTTTGACCTGCTAACTCAGAAAAACAGAATGGAGTGGTAACATGTCAGGAGAGATTCTATGCCAGAAGGTGATGCAGATTTAATATTTTTTTCGTTGTAAAAAAATCAACATCTGCAGGTCATTCTTCACAGAAAAATGGCCTGGCCATTACCGAATTGCTCCAGAAACACAGCTTGTAAGGGAAAGGTTAGTTAGTTCCCTTCTGCTATTCTTATACTATATAGGTAACCTTCGAGTTACGACTGCAATTAAGCCCCACAATTCCAGTCATAAATTGTGATGTAAAGCAGGTTACCATGTGAGGCAGATCCAATGTTAGGACCTTGTTTGTGGCAGCCATTGAGTGAATGTGGCAGCTGTAAAGCGATCAGCTATTGATGTTTAGACTGGATTTGGCAAATCTATCCATCCAGGGGTGGGCTGCTGGGGGTTTGCAAGGGTTCGGGAGAACCTCTAGCTAAGATTCTGTGCAGTTTGGAGAACCCCCAAATCCCACTCCTGACTGGCCCTGCCCACCCCACCCCTCCCAGGAGTCCCCACGCGCCCCGTTTTGTGGAGGCTCGGGGAGGGTGAAAAATGGGCCTACCGGAAGTTCAGGAAGGCCAAAAATGGGCCCGTTTCCGACCTCCAAAGGGTCTCTAGGGCCTGGGGAGGCTGTTTTCGCCCTCCCGGAGGCTCGAGGAAAGCCTCCAGAGCTAGGGGAGGGCAAAAACGCCCCCCCTGCAGTGGTGCAGGAGGCCAACTAGGCCACACCCACCATGGCCACGCCCACCCAGCAACCGGGCAGAGAACCCCTTGCTAAAATTTTTGAAGCCCACCCCTGTATCCATCTATCGAGCCCTTCCCTAGGAACTAAGTGAACAACCGTAAAGCTGTTAAGCAAACATATGGTCTGCTATAGCAGGAGTCCCCAACCCCTGGGCCGTGGAGTGGCACCGGGCCGCAGCATGCCAGAAACCGGGCCACACAAACAAACAAAGCTCCATCCATGGGATGCAGGCAGCACGCAAAACCACGCCCCCTCCAGTCCTCAGAAAAACCCCTCTCCATGGAACCGATCTCTGTTTCCCAAACGGTTGGGGACCACTACGCTAGAGGCACAGTTTTTTTTACTGGAAACTAGAATTAAATGCTGGTTGCTGGCAAAAAATGTCATAAACCGTGGTCACGTAACTGCGGGGCGCTGCAAACGGCCATAAATGTAGGTGGTAGTCAAATGCCCCAAACGTGATCACGTGTCCAAGGTAGAGGTGGGGGGTGGATATTGGAACTTCAAAACCAAGTGGTAAGTCCCATTTAATCAGTGGAACAACTTGCCTGCAGAAGTTGTGAATGTTCCAACATTGGAAATTTTTAAGAAGATGTTGGATAACCATTTGTCTGAAGTGGTGTAGGGTTTCTATTCTATTCTATTCTATTCTATTCTATTCTATTCTATTCTATTCTATTCTATTCTATTTTCTGGCCCCGTCATAACTTTGAATGGTCTCTAAGCAACTGGTAAGTCAAGGACTACCTGTAAAAGGGAGATGTGATCCAGCTGGCATTCTGCACAAACCCTGCTTGAAAACATTCTGCAGGGTTCCCTATAGCTTGGAGCTCTTCAGCAAAGAAACTGATGGCAGAAAAACCGAACACCTAGGGCAGAAATAGGTTCCATTTAAAACCACTGCTTGTCCTGTAGGAAGGTGTGGATCAGTGGTGGGTTCCTCCCGGTTCGGTCCGGTTCGGCCGAGCCAGTAGTGGTGACGATATGACGTCACTGAACCAGTTCTCTCCCCCCCACCCTCCCACCCCGCCACCCACCCACGTCATTCTTACCTTTTATTTGGCCCCACCCCCAATCTATTGCTGCCTCCTGAGTCCCAGCTGATGACTAGAGGGAAAAAAACTGTTTAAACTCTTGCCGCGGGGCTTCAAAGGGCCGTCCTACAGCTGATCAGTGTTAAAAGCAAACAAATGAGTCGGGTCGTAAATGCGAGGACTGGTTGTAAGTGCGAGGACCTTCCAGAAATGACTCTGACCAGCTAGCCACGCCCACCTAGTCACATGACATCCAAGCCACACCCACAAAATAAGCCACGCCCACAGAACCGGTAGTAAAAAAAATTAGAACCCCTGGTGTGGATGCAACAGTATCCCACTCTGACTGCGATCTGGGCCATAGAGGCACAGTGGGCACCCAATTTTGTGTATTGGTATTCCCTTTGCTCCACTACTGTCGGTATAAAGTCTGGCAAACATCTGCCTGCATGCAAAAGCGAGTAACAATGGAAAGTCTGTCTTCCATTGGAGGTGAAAGGGACCAGCTCTTGGCTTCTTATCGATTTGATTCTTTTTGAAGGTGATAGCTCACGGGTCTTCTTTGCAAAAGCTGGAAATACTTGTTATTTTTTGCAGATTCTACAGTTTTGGACTTTGCTATTAAGTCGCAGAAGTAATTAATGCACATTGATTTTTCTTCGGCTGGCATTTCGTTGTTTAAGTGGGGTGGGGGTGGGGTGGGGGTGGGGGGTTGGAGACGAAGGGATCTTACAGGAAATGTTCCCTGGAGAACAGCATGTGATTATTAGAAGCTGTAAAACATGAGCTGCTCGGTGTACGTCAGAGTTTTGGCAGCACACACAGAGCCCTGCTTCACAGCAAAGGCTGCATGGGCATGCCTAGTGTTTTAAGTAGATCTTTCGTAGCGGAGAACAAGGGGAGCAAAGAAACAACGGGGTTTATTTTAGAGCGAGCCCTGCCTCAGGATATTAAACATCCTTAAGCAAGACATTGCTGTGCTTGGAATATCTGTTGTCTTGGGTTGGGTTTGAAGAATGAGGAATGTGACACAAAGATTCTCTCTTTCGATTGTTTTTTTTCTCCATGCCTCCCCCTTTATGCCTCTTCTCCCCCTTTCTTTCTCCTCTTTTCATCCTCACAACCAGCATTCAGTCCAACAGCTGAACTGGCTGCATGCAGAGAGCTTTGGAAAACTAGTCATGGGCTGGAGGCGGTCTATCCATACCCAGTCTGAAGGTTCACACCACACCACCACTGGGGGAGCTGGAATCTTCTGCTTGTGTGGTATCCTTGTTACCTTTGTAGACATTCTTCAGGCTACTCCCAAGAATTTCTGCTCTAAAAATATAAGAGAACTTGCTGTTGGGGGAAATTCATTGAGATGCACCTAAAAGACACTAATTTGGGAAAGGCCAGCTCCAAACATTTCTGGTTCCATCTCCTTCATTCCTTGAACAACTTCCATGGTTCCTTACTTATAAATATTTTCTTCTCCTATTTCAGAAATAGGGAAACCAAATGTTCCATTCACTCCAATATTATTACTCTGCTTCATCCCACAGGCAGCCAGATGTTTAGAATGGATCTGGCATTTTTGGCATCCATCTGTCGAGTCCATCCCAAGGACCTAATACAGGCAGATATTGCTGTTTGATTGTGTTACAGTTATTGTTGAAAGATGTAAGCTGTTCTGAGTAAAGCTGCCTCTTGCAATTGACTGACGGTGATTTTGTCAAAGCTGATTGGGTTCTAGTGATCTTCCAGATGTTTTTGGGTTGCACCCAAGATGCCTATTGCTATTGGTGCTACCGTTGCTTCCTTTTATTGTTTTAGTTTTATTTCATTATTATTCTTTTATTCCACCTTTTAATATACAACTCAAGGAGGTGAATATATCTAATGCTCCCTCCTATTTTCCCCACAACCACAATTCCTTGAAGTGGGTTG